GGGGAATGAAGGAGTTGTTTTTCCTGTGAAAACGATTGGATATATTCCCATGTGATAGGGCTGCATCTTCACGAGGCCAAGAGCTCAAGCTGCTCCACCCTGTGGCACCGCTCAAGGACAATGGATTCATCCCCATTCACCTGACAACTGCCCGTGTCAAACATTTCCCTCTCCTCCTGAGTCAGGGCAGCTCCCTTCCCCCAGCTCTGCGGCCTCTCCAGCTACCAGGGCTCTGAAGAGGTGGCTCAGGTCGCTGGACTCCTGCCTCCAGCACAGTCCCAGAACAGCAACACCCATCAGTGAGCACCCCAGGACCTCCTGCTGCCTGCCCTGGGCCACCTCAGCCCCTGCTCTTATCCCCTCCCACCCCTGTGCCATTCCCAGCCACTCCAGCCCCATCACTTCCCACAAAGAAACTCTGATTTCTCCTTTGAACCACTTTCCTGTGTTCCCCATCCTGCTGTGTACCTTCCCTTGGTGCTGCTTTCCTCCCTTTGCCTTTTTCTGCCTGCTCAGCCCCACACCCCGTACCCCCACCACTGCTGGCCGTGAGAACCTCCCTCCTGGCCAGCAGGACCTTTTCTCTCTCCCTGCCATCCACAGGCTACACCCCAGTGTATTCCCATCTGGCTGTCCTTGCCCAGCAGTGTGAGTTCCTCTCCTGGCCAGTATTCCCTGCTGCAGAGTCCCAGTTCCATTTTCTGCTCCATCCATTTCCCTCAGCATCCTTGATGGGCGACACACTGCTTCCCTCTTCTCCTCTGCAGCTCTCCAGTTCCACCCCTGCCACAGCAGCACAAGGACCCCAGGTGACACCGTGTGCCCTCGGGGACCCCCAGCAGACACTGACCCAGCTGCTTCTCACCCTCCTTTCCTTCCCCTGCCTCACATCCCTGGCTCAGGGAGGCATTCAGCCTGCACCCCTGGCACCGCTGGGCACTCAGCATCCTGTGCAGAGAGGGGCCAGGCTGCAGCGAGCAGGGCCAGGGGCAGGGCCAGGGCCAGGGCCAGGGCCAGGCATCCCCCCCAGGCTGTGGGCAGCTCCAGCCTGGCCAGCTCGCTCTGCCTGGGGACAGCCAGAGCAGCCACCGCCTGCTTAATCTGCTGCCATCGAGAGAAATTCGATAAGCCACGGCCAGCCCTTCGCTGGGATCCTGCCAGCACCAAAGCCCTGCTCCCTGTTCCCTCCCTGCCGCCTCCCAGGGCTGCCCTACTCACAAGAGAGGCTGCAGAGAGGAATGGCAAATTCCTGGGGCCAGGGGCAACATCTGGACCTGTCCCCCAGTCCTGCAGGGCATCTCTTCCCACCCTTTCCCGTGCAGCCTGCTGGCTCTGCCCATCCCCATGACACACCAGTCATCCCCAGTGAGGAGCAAAAGGCCTGGAGAGCCATGATTAACTGGATCAGCTAAGATTAATTGGGCAGATTAGCTAATGAAACCGCTCTTAAGTCCAGGGGCTACCAACTGGCAGCCTCTCCTGCTGAGAGGTGACCAACAGGACAGGGAGCATTGTCCCCAAGTGCCACCAACCAGCAAGCTCTTCCCCAAAGGATGCTCAGGAGCATGCTGTGCTGCCGGTCCCCCAGCTCCAGCAGATGGGGAGCTGCCTGCAGCCAGGGAAATCCAAGGTGAGTTTCCCTTTGTCTGCTCACATCCAGCCCCACGTCACCTCAGTGAGGGCGAGGGTGGACGCCCCGTTTGGCTGCACCAGTGTATTCTCAGCAGCTGCCAGGCTTTGTTGTGGTGAGCCCTTCCCCTGCACCCTTTGTTGGGGCTCCCCCAGCTCTGACTGGGACCACGGGACTGTGTGCTGCCCCTAGGGCAGCAGGGAACACGTTGCTGGATGACATGGCACCATCAGCGCCTGCCAGCCAAGCTCCTCACCCACCTCCCGCCCCACACAGGACAAGGGGCCATGACGGTGCAGTTTTCTCCAGACAGCACCTGCAGGCAGGGAAGCAGCTCAGAGGACAGCCCAGGACAAGGGCAGATGCCCCCCACACTCAGAAGAAAGCCAGCCCCTGGTACCCTGCCCTCTGCCTCCTCACCTCCTGCCCACCCCAACGCGGGACACAGCCCCAGGGCAGAGTTTGCAGCTCCCTGAGAATTCCCATGCAGATTCAGTTTACAGGTAGCAAATGTAAGGACATGGATGAGGGGTTCTGCTTCCCATCTCTGCTGCAAAGTAACCCCACCCCCATCCCGGCTCCCTTCATCCTCTCTTCCAGACATGCCAACCCAAAGCAGGGAAAAGCTGCACAGAAAAGGCAGTGAGCTCTGATGGGTGCCCAGCATTGCTGGGCATGGAGAAAGGCAGCCAGGGAGGGGGAGCACAACAGATTCCCACCGCACCCAGGGCTTGAGGGGCTGCAGCTCTTGCCACATGCAGGGAGGTGGAGGGTGGTGGCAGCATCTTTGCCAGCGCCAGCTGCCACCTCCCAGACAAAATGGAGGTCAGCAGCAGCATGCCGAGATGGCAGAGCCACCACACCCCTGGCCATACCCAGGGGAGGGGGAGGCTCTCTGCCTCCCTGCCCCCAGTGCCACAGAGGCCACCTGCACGGGGCTGCTCTGGCTGCTGGGATGGAAGGGTTCCTGCCTGTGCGGTGCTACGGGAGATGCTCGGCTGGTCCCTTGTCCTCCCTGCGCCCCGATGCTGCCGCATGGGACCCGAGCAGGCAGGAGCCCGGCTCACACGGGGTCTGCAGGATCTAGGGGAGGGGTCACTGCCCCGTGAGGGGGAGGAGGAGGAGGGAGGGGGGGAGAAGGAAGCAGAGGAGTAAGACAATAGGGCAGGTGCAGGGCTGCTCCCTGCGAACCTGGATGACCAAGCGTGGAGCTCTGCACTGGTCCTGCGCCCCGGCACCTGTCCCTTCAACAGCCAGCAGCCACTGCACTGGCCCGCAGTGACATGGCGGCCCTTGTCCAGCCACTCCACAGCGCAAGGTCACCGGCAGCTGCTCGTCCTTGGGGGCCAAGAACAGCCTTAGCATCGCAGCATCTTTGCCAGCCACCCGCGGCGAGAGCCCCAGGTGGGGCATCCACCACTCCCTCCAGCGCTGCTGTTTCACTCTGAGGCATTATGATGGTGATGACGCAAGATGGCTCAGCTGCATAACCACAGCCATCTGCCCCGAGGGAAGAGCAGGGGTGGCTCTGGGGTGACAAGGGGTTCCTGTGTCCCCCGCCATGGGCTGCGGGGATGGCATCCTCCCCCTTCGCACCCTGGCCGGGGCCGGGGCGGCAGAGGCATCTCCTCGTCCGCGGGCAGCCCCCCCCGCCGCACCCCGGCTGGATCCTTCTGGAAGGTGGGGCGGCACCCGGCGGTCACCGCGCTGGGGACCCGAGGGCAGTTTCCCACACCCACAACTTCGAGCATCGGGGGGCTCCGCAAAATGGCCACCGGCCGCGGCCCCCCCGCCCCGCCGGACCCTCGGGGATGCGCATCCCGCTCCCACCCGCCGCGCCTCGTCCCCGCCGGGGCCACGAGGGGCGGCACCGCCACCCCGGAGCAGCCCCGGTCCCCGCTCTGCGCGGGGCGGCACTCGGCAGCTGTCGCCTGGCAACCGGCACCGGCCCGGTACCCCGGTACCCCGGTACCTCGGTACCCCGGACGAACACCGCTACCGCTGTTCCCCGCGCAGTATTCCGAGGAGCGGCGCTGGCCAGGGCTTCCTGTGCCCCCGGTCCCGGCGCCGTCAGTTCGCTCCTCCGTCCGCCGAGCCCCCGCCCGCCTCCCGGGGCACGGCCGCTCCTGCCCATCTGCGCCCGGAATTCAGAGCCAGCGCAGAAAGCGGATTATTCCTTCGCTGCCAGCTGTTTCCAGCAGCACGGCCAGCCTCGCCCCACGGCAGCCCCGAGGCCACGCGTCCCTTCCCCGCCCCAGCCATGCCCCAAATCTCCCTAGAGGACAGGGAGATCTTCTTCATCCGATATGTCGTCATCGCTTTGGTGGGATGATGGCTGGGCAGCAGTCCCCAGGCTGCTTGTGGCTTCCATCAGCCATGCGGGATCAAACTCATCTGCCCCCAGCTCCTCCCAGTGGTCACCACCCGGCTGCCAGGCAGATGCGCTCTCACCTGGCACTGTTGCTGGCCCCGTGCCTCTGTCCCGTTTGTCTTCAGCAGCGGCCACTGGTGCCAGTTCTGCCGGGTGGGAATTCCCACCCCTGTGCTGCCATCCCAGCCAAAGCTTTGCTCACTGGGGCTCCTCTGGGCAGGGACACGCTCAGGGCTCTGCTAAAGCTGGCAGCAGGCAGCTTGTTTGCATTTCAGGGTATGGATGGCAGAGAATGTGGCAGAGGCACAAGGCAATGTGCTGTGGGTACACACAGCAGGTGACAGGATATCGACCCCACGTGAAGCCTGTGGCATCCTCAGGACACTCATGATGCTCATGAGCCTGCAGAGCAGAGCTCACTGTGGCAGGCACTGTGTCTGTGTCCCAGTCCACAGCCCTGGTGCACATCAGTCCACTGGCCAGCCTCCCTCAGGCTGTCCCTCTGCAAGGCAGGTCCCTGGTCAGGGAGCTCTGGTCAACAGGAACGTGCTGCAGGAGGAGCTACGACCATGGCAGCTGTGCCAGACCAGTCTCAGCACAGGATCTAGGTGCCCAGAGCAGGGACCCACCTGCTGGGGTACTGTTGGGAGACATTAGCCCTGGAGTTGTGGGGGCCGTGGGGACAGGGACTGCCTCCCTGCCCCCAGTGCTTGGGAGTCCCAGAGGCTGACGTACCTGGAGAGTGATGACCTGAGCACCAGCAAGGGAGCATCCCCCAAAATGAGGGGCCCAAGACAGCAGGGATAGCACTGGTGACACATTAACCGGGCAGGGGAGGCAGCCAGGGGTAGAGTCCAGGCTGGTGGGGGGGAGCACTGATTTCTGGGTCAAGGTCCGTGGGACATTGGACACTGCTGGCACAGGATAGACTGTGCTGCAATGCTGGCAGCTGCTCAGGCAGCCTCCAACACTCCTTTTCTCTGGGCTCAGCTCCTGGGGACAGCACGGCGTGCCATGGCCAGCAGCGTGCTCCGCGTTGCCCCTCCGGAGGAGCTGCTGCGGCCCCTGGCCGTGCCCGAGAGGCTGCTGCTCGGCCCGGGGCCCAGCAACGTGCCCCGCCGCATCCAGGCTGCGGGCGCCCGCCAGCTCCTGGGCCACATGCACCCTGAAGTGCTGCAGGTGAGCTGCCCCAGCCCAGCTTTCCTTCCCTCCCCTCCTCTTCCTCACCCCCAGGAGGGGCTGGAACAGCTCTGCTGGGGCAAGAGGGGCAGTAGCAGTGCTGGCCAGTGTCCTGCTGCCGCAGGTGATGGATGAGATCAAGGCAGGCATCCAGTACGCCTTCCAGACACAGAACAGGCTGAGCCTGGCCATCAGTGGCAGCGGCCACTGTGCCATGGAGGCCGCCCTCGTCAACCTGCTCGAGCAAGGTGACACCGTGCTGGTGGCCATCAATGGCATCTGGGGACAACGTGCCGCCGATATTGCCAGGAGGCTGGGTATGCTGGGAACAGGCAGATGGCATGGCAGGGCTGAGGGGAATGGGCTTGCAGGTGCCCTGGTTTGCTGTCCCAATCCTGGCAGTGCTCGGTGACACGGCTTACAAAACCAGAGAGCACTCTGCTAGAGAGTGCTCCAGGTTTTCCCAAAAATGCTGCCACTCCATTTGTGGTGCTTTATGGCTTTTCCACTGTGCAAACCTGCAGGAGGCCAGACTCGGGCAGGTGGCTCTGCTCCTGGGTCATGCGTGACCAATTGCCCCACGGAGCAGGTGACTGCCCAGTGGGAAGCATGCCCAAACCTCACTCTCCTCTGCCCAAATTCCTCCCAGGAGCCAATGTCTGTGAGCTGCTGAAGCCCCCGGGCAAGTACTTCACTCCACGAGACATTGAGCAGGTGAGTGCTGGCCACTGTGCAGAGGGCACCAGCTGACCTCCAGTGTGGTCACCTTCCCCCTGTGTCCTGCAGGGCCTGGTGCAGCACAGACCTTTGGTGCTCTTCATCACCCACGGCGAGTCCTCCACAGGGGTGCTGCAGCCGCTGGAGGGGCTGGGCGAGCTGTGCCACCGGTCAGTGCGTGGTGGGCACCCCAAAGTCACCACTGGGGATTTGGGCCTGGGGATTTATCTGTGCTGGGCTTTCCTCTGGCCCTGTTGTGCTGGAAGCAGTCGGTGCCAGTGAGACACGCAGCCCCTGCGGGGAGCAGGATGCCAGGGCTGCAGGCAGAGACGTGGCAAGAGGAGGTGGCAGGAGCACCAGGCTGAGCTCTGTCCTCCCACAGGCATGGCTGCCTGCTGCTTGTGGACACAGTGGCATCGCTTGGGGGAGCCCCCATCTTCATGGACCAGCAGGGTAAGAGCCACAGTGCCATCATGGGCAACCAGGGGACAGAGGGGCTCATGCCTGGGACAGGGAGAGAGAGCAGTGGGATCAGCCCCTCCACCTGCATTTTGGCTAGCAGCACTAAAAATTGGTCCAGCCTGTTCCCCTTGGGGGACATCAGCAGTGCCAGGGGGCCTCCCAAAGCAGCCTGAACACGAGCAGGACCTGCCCTGTGTGCCATCCTTGTGCCTCACACCCACCACTTGCAGCCAGCTCGGAGGGCTCAGCATTTTCCTGCTGGGAGCCTCTGATTCCTAAGGAGCTGTCTTCCCTCTTGGGGCAGAGATCGATGTCCTGTACTCAGGGTCCCAGAAAGTCCTCAACGCACCCCCTGGCAGTGCCCCCATCTCATTCAGTGAGAGAGCCAGGTAAGAGCAGCCCGGTCTCACCAGGGTGGAAGGCAATGGGGCTGGGGAAGCTGTCACCTCTCACCTGCCTCTGTCCCACTCTGGGGGTAGACCCCATCCCATCCCTGGGCAGTGGCTGGGAGCTGGAGCCTATCTCTGCGCTCACCTTAGGGGAGTCCTCCTTCCCACCTTGGAGCTGGTGGGGTCAAGGTCCCACCTCTCCCCAGTGCTCTGTTTCACCAGGGAGAAGCTGCTGAGGAGGAAGACAAAGCCCCCATCCTTCTATCTGGACATGGGCTGCTTGGCAAACTACTGGGGCTGTGACGGGGAGCCGCGGAGGTGAGGGCGGGCTCTCCTCTTGCAGACGGGGACAAGCGCTCCCCAGCCAGCCTCTGTCCTGGCTCGGGGCTGCCTGCCCTCCAGGGCTCAGGCCCTGCCTCCCCATCTCCCTGGCTGCTGCATGCTCACAACCCTCTGCACTGGGTGATGAGGAGGGAGGATGCTGTGCCTCAGTTTCCCCGGCCACGAGCACGGGGCTGCCAGTCTGTGTGCAAGCTGAACCCTGCGGGTGCCCCTTGCAGGTACCACCACACAGCACCCATCAACAGCTTCTTCAGCCTGCGGGAGGGCTTGGCCCTGCTGGCAGAACTGGTGAGTGGCACCAGGCAGGCAGGGCAGCACCAGCAGGAACCCTGCCAGCAGCAGGGACCTCCTCTCTCCTCTCTGCCCACAGGGTCTGGAGAGCTCCTGGGAGCGACACCGGGCCAACTGCACCCTGCTGTGCCGGGGGCTGCTTGACATGGGGCTTGAGCTCTTTGTGGAGGAGGAGGTGGGTGCAGGGCAAGGCCACCACCGCCACCACCGAGCGGGGCAGCGTGAGGACACAGCCCTGGGCAGCTGGAGATGTGCCTGGGCAGCTTTTGATGCCAGAGAAAAATCTCCCCGCTCCGTGATGCTCTCTCCTGGCACTGTGCTGGGGTCACCAGGGGCCGTGGGACTGACAGCAGTTTCTCTCTTCCTCAGGAGGCCAGACTTCCCACCATCACCACTGTCAGGGTGCCTGAGGGCTACAACTGGAAGGACATCACGGCCTTTCTGATGGACAACCACGGCATGGAGATCGCTGGGGGCCTGGGCCCCACGGTGGGCAAGGTGGGCACAGTCTTCCCCTCCTGCTGCCCACGGCTGGGCACAGATCCCCGCGTTCACTGCCACCCTCTGGCTGCCACAGCGTGTGTGGCTGGCACGGCGCGTCCCATTGCCCGGAGCAACGCATAGCAGCATAACCGCACACAATCACCTCCTAATTGAATAACCACGCACGTAATTAGCGGGGCGACACCTCTTTATAGAGAACGATGTGTTAAACACGAACAAGGGAGCTGCGCACAACCACTCCCGCCTGGCTGTGTGTCCCCCACTCCCTCTGCACAGACACTCACCCTTCTCCTCCAGGTCCTGCGCATCGGCCTCATGGGCTGCAACTCAACCAGGGCCAACGTGGAGCGAGTGCTTGCAGCCCTGCGAGATGCCCTCCAGCGCTGCCACCGCAGCCGGCTGTGAGCAGCCCTGCTGGGGGAGGTGGCCTGGCACTGCCTGGCAGCTGGCAGCAGAGGGACTCCTCTGCCTCCCTGGGATGCTGGCAGGAGCCACGGCAACATCCAGCAAGCCAAGGCACAGTGGAAAAGAGCTGGGAGAGCAGGGGACATGGAGGAGAGGGCTCTGCTCAGCAGATGTGAGACGTGGCTCAATACCACTCCTCCCATCACCCCCTAAGTCCTGACCCCTCAGTTCTTTCCCTTCCCCTGGCCCCAGGGCATGGTGACCCTCAGCAAGCTGACAGGGGCTGGATGCAGGGTCTGACCACAGGTCCCTTCCCCTCCCATCACCAACAACCTCAGCCTTCCCCACCCTGCAGTGCAGAATGCCAGCCATCCCCCTCCAGATTCTGTACCACGCAGCACCCAGGTGCACCAGGGGCTGTGTATGCCCCCAGCTGCAGCAGGTGTGCTCTGTCCCCCATACCACCTTTCCTCAATAAAATGACACAGCAGCACGCTGCTCCCTGGCCCTGTAGCTCTCCTTGCACCCCCCCAGAGTTTTGAGACACCCCGATGGGGCAGCAGCAGGGTCCCACTCAGCTCTGCTGAGGGATTTCTTGGCGGATCCTGGAGAGGAGCTGGGACGCTGCAGCGCGGCGTGCACTGTCCTGGATCCGGTACACCTGAAACTAAAGGTGGGTGGGGGGTGAGGGGACAGGGCTTCCCGCTCTGCCTGAGCTCCATGCCCAGCACTGCCAGCCTCCCACACCTCCACAGCATGCCAGAGGCCTCGGTGCGGCCGACTGCAGCTCATCCCAAGCTTCCTAGCCCAGGTGGCTTGTGGTGCTGCCCCAGCTGAAGGGCTGGGGTTACCTGGCTGAGCAGCACGTCAAAGTAGGCTGTGTCCCAGCAGGACCCATCCTTGGTGGGGAGCTGCAGCAGGGCTCGGGTCTCTGTGTCTGCCTGGCAGCTGCCACTGAACCCGTGGAGGCCAAAATGGAAGCGGAGGAAGCGTTGGGGGTCCCAGGCAAAGCTCTCCACTTTATGGTAGAGGGAGGCAAGGTCTGGGGCAGCTCCTTGGAAGAGGTTTTCCTCTGGGTTCAGGAAGTGGGGCAGGTGCTGGATGGCCAGGCAGCGGAGAAGGATCACCAAGAGCCTGTAGACAGAGCCTTCCAGGTCCTGCCAATCCTCCGGGGAGGGGAAGAGCTCTGTGCTCCACAGCAACACCATCTGTGAGGAGGGAGAGAAGAGCACAGGATTGGACAAGGCCTGATGCCAGGAAGGCTGTGCCTTCACACCCTGCAGCCCCACTTGGGCTGAATCCATGCGGGCTGGAGCAGTTGATACTTTTCTGAAGGCCAGATACATGTATCTGCCCTTTTTCTTAAAAAAAAAAACCCCTCCCACAACCACCACCTCCAAAACATCAAATAATACAGCACAAAACAAAGTACACAGGATTTGTGTTCCTAGGAGGTGGAGCCACTCTGTAGGCAGAAAACATCCTTGCATTCTTCTTGACCCTTGGCTTGGAGAGCCATCAAAATGCAGGGCACACCTGGATTGTGCCACCAGGTGCTGTCCCCAGCATGGCCATCTGGCATGGCTCCAGAGTGTTGAAAACAGGCTGGGTGGGGAGAGGAGGTTTTTTGTCAGCAGAAATGCCACCCTCAGCCCTGTACAGGCACGTCCCAGCACAGCAGGGCATGGGGCAGCCTTGCAGTGTGGCACAGGGATGCCATCCTGCAGGCACAGGCAGCCTGGGCCAGGGGATGATGCCCTGCAGAGCACCAGCTCTGAGCACACAAAGTGTCTCCAGCTGTGGAGACACTTTGTTTGTGATTGCTGGTTCAGTCCAAGGAAGAAGGATCAAAGCTCTCTAATCACGGCTAGCAGCAGCACACATCCTTCCCAGACACAGCCAGGGGCTGCTACACCCCAGAGCCTTGCAGACCCTATTGTGTGGGTTCTTGTGCAGGGGAGCAGCCTTGGCTCTGCTTGCCCAGAGAGCCACGGTCCCAGCCAGCAGAACCACCCTACCTTGAGGTGTTGGAAAGTGAGAGTGCCTCTCCCACCCTGCCCTCCCCAGTCCTGGTCACGGAGCTGGTCGAGCAGGCGAAGGCTGTCCAGACGGGATCCCTTCAGGGTGTCCACTCCTCGGAGCAGCTTCAGGATGGGAAGGTGACTGGAGGATCTGGAGGAAGACATTGGGGTCTGCTGGGAGGGGAGAAGAAGACTGCATGCTCCAAGGATGGGGAGAGTATGCCTGCAGTGATTTTTGGCATGCAGGAGGATCCCTCCACGGCACACAAGTGGTCCCAGACAATGCAGCACCTTGGATCTGCAAGATCCTCCTGGATCCACCTCCTGTGCTTGCCTCTGGCAAAGGAGAACTTCAGAGGTGTGGAGTGAGATGGGAACACTGCAGAGCAGCTCCTGCCTTCCCAGGAGGACCAAGAATGGGATGAAGTGTGGTTGTTCTCCCCATGTGTAGTGGGGAGGGGAGGCTGGGTTGGTCCCCACCGAGAGGCTGGGCATCCAGTTGGAGCACCTTGTTCCCAAAATAGATAGGGACTGGTCCAGCTGGCTGCTCAGCCCCTCCATGGGGCAGGCAAGATACATCAGTCCAGCCCTGTTTTGTCCTGCAGCCCACCTTGGCAGGCAGCTCAGCCTGCTGTTGCCAGGTGCCAGGCTTGTCTCTGAAGCCCAAGCAGGGCTCTGAGAGCTGCCACCCTCTGCACAGTCAGTTGCATTCCCTCTCTTTCCCTGAGCTGTCTGAAACTTGGCTGAGGTTTTTTTCTCCAACACAGGGAAGAGGGTTTGGGCATCATGAGGGGGTGACCTCAACCCCTGCTGACATGTCCCCTCCCTGTCCCAACCTCTTTTTGCCCACACCCAGCAGTGCTGCCAGCCAGGGGGCATGCCTGGCTGTGCAGGCAGCCGAGCCTCTCACCTCCAGCAGCGGGGAGAGGCAGGGACAAAGTGAGCCTCCTCCGTGGCCCTGCTGAGGCTGCCTTCGGGGAAGCCCCTGCCGCCCTGCCGCCTCTGGAGCTGCAGCGGCTCCTGCTGCCTCCTCACCACAGGAACGATGTCAAAGCGAATGGTCTTCCAGCTGCCGCGGATCAGCAGGGAGAGCTCCATGGCATCTTCCCGCAGATTTTCAGCACTGATGTCACCTGGATGCAGAGGGTTTGGCAGCAGTGAGCAGGTTAGCACAGCCGGTCCCGCAGGCTGAACCAGGTCTGTGCTGCAGCACCCGTGGCCATGTCCCACCCCACTCGACCCAGCCCTTCCCAGTGCTGCAGTCTGGGGCAGTTCCCCCGGTAAAATCCCTCTCCCAGCCATGCTGGGGTGGTTTTACAGGAAGAAGAGTCGCAGGGGTCAAGGTCAGGCACAGCAGGAAGTCTCAAGCAATCAAACTGAGCTGTGCTTCTGGGTGGCTGAACAGTGCCAAGAAAAGCAATACAGTCCAAGAAAAATGGATCAGGAAAGGTTCATTGCTTTCTGGGGGTGGAGGAAGATGAAGGTCACTGGCTTGGCCACGGAGGAAGGAGGGGATGCTGGACTTGCTGGGACAGGGTTAAGAGACTTTCAGACCCAGTGGTCCTCTCACATCACCCTGTCACTCTGGCTGAGCTTTTCTTCAAGAGCACATAGAGAGATGGAAATGCATTAAGAGGGTTATGGAACACCTATGGGAAATTCCCAGGATCCCCTCCCACCATGTCTTTTCCAAGGACACTGCTGCCAGCTGTGTGCTCACAGGGTCAGGCCCATGCCCCACGGTCCTGGTCCAGCTCTGATGCCCACCCAGCTCACTCTCCAAACAGCCTCCTCCAGAGAGCAGGGGCCACTTGGAGGCTGAGAGGCAGAGGGGAGAATGTGGTGAGGGTAAGCCAAGCACACCAAGTCCTTGAGCAAACCCTACCTGGGGACTAACAACAGGGCTGGGTGGACACTGCATCCACCAAGAAGGGCGCCATCAGTCCCAGGTGAAGATGCCTGAGGATGACTCTGATGCCCTGGGATGGCAGGAAGCAGTTTGCATCTCCCCTTCCTTAGCTGGGGGTAAAGCCCATCCCAGCACACAGCAAGGTGCTCGCTAACCTGCCCCTGCAGCTTTTGGGTGGGCCACATGCCCAGGAACATAGGTCCCAGCATGTTTGCACAGGGATCACTGCCAAGCTGGGAAGCTGGGCAGGCACTGGAGGCATCTCCTGGCTGGGAAGCACCCTGCCAGTGTACGCACCTGGCTGAAGCAGGAAGAGGCGTTGGCAGTGCACGATGGCTGAAACAAGGAGCTCTTTCAGGTGCTGGAGGATTTTGCCTGGAAGCAGGCACCCCGCACCACCTCCGTGCTCCATCACATCCACAGCACCAGTCCAGTCCTCCAAATCAGTCTCTGGAGAGCGCAATTCCAGGCAGCAGGTGTTCAGCTCTGAAGGATGCCTGCCCGGGCTGTCCCTGCTCCGGCATGCCAGCACACGCAGGGTATCGCCGTCAACGCGCAGGGGCACCTCGAGAGTGACAGCGTCCTCAGAGGCACAGAGAGCGAACTCGAAGGCTTCCAGGTTCCTGGCGTAGTCCACGAGGAAGCGGGGATCCCTGGCATGGACACTCTCCAGCAGGGTGAGCAGGATGTCCTCGGCCCGCTGGAAATGCTCCATGCGCTGCCTCTCGCGGGACACGATCACCCCGAGGTAGCTGTGCCAGAGGGAGGTGTTGGCTTCCATGGCAGCTCTGCTGCTGCCTTACGCTGCTGCGAGCGGCTGCAAAGGTGCGTGGGCAGGGAGGGCAGGGCCGGCTGCCGGCGGGGGCGGGCGGAGGGAAACAGAGCCGGGCGGTGACAGGCACCGAGTGCTGGGTGACTCCCAGGGAGAGGTACAGGACAAACCCAGGGCGGGGGCTTGAGTCACACCGTGGCCCCTCTTCCGCCACTCCAGAAGGTGACAGCGAGTGCTCAGCTGCTGGGTCACGCCAGGCAACGCTGTGCTCTCCCACAGCGCCCTTGGCACAGGGACT